CAGCCAAACACAATCAAGTGACATATGGTATGTCTGTGTACTGTACAGGGAGAAGTAGGAAGAATTTTTGACTGTTTTTGATGGTTATAGTACAAGTAGGGTTAACTGAGTTTCCATGGAAATGATGTGGGGAAATCGGTTTCTTAGTGGGAGAGAGGTCCATTTTTTGGAGAGGGGGAAAGAACTCTACTACACCATTATTTCTGAGGCACGGTCTTTTCAACCTCATGTCATCCAAGTGCCTCCAAGTGATGTCATCCAGGGTTAAAACCTTAATGTTGCAGCTTTCTCTGCAAAAAGGTTGCCAGAAAATTTGGATAGTTTTGCTTTCTGTTTCAGTTGATGACAGGCCAGTGAGCAAAGTTTTTCACTCTAACACTTTCATTGAGCAAATTTGGGTTCCCAATTTTATTTCAATAGAAACTCCATGTGTCTCCCTGTCAATACATCACAAAAGCAGCGCCCTCATTTGTCAGAAAAGCATTGAAAATGTTAAACATTTCAAAGAGTGCACTTTTCTTGAGAGTAACCAAAAAGAGACATCGGATAGTTTTCTTACATAAAAGAGAAGCAAGAAGTTACGCTCCCAGTTTGCATCATGAACCCATTTCAGAAGCGCATCATCCTAGGCCGAGACTCACTAGACCATGTAGCGATAAAAGATCTGAAATGGTCGAGTTGTGTTGTGAGTCGCTAAACCGTGACACAGATGTAAGTATTTCTGCAAAGCTTATATGCAGACTGCTGGTTAGTTGACCAGTTACAGTGGTTTCCAATTCTTGTGTCGGCTGTTGAGCAAAACACACTTTAAATCCAGTGGGCAATTCACATGCCAGCCTTTTGTTGTTGGATGCTGATGGAATGCTTGGAATGCGACCTGCTTTTCAGCTTAAGGTACGGATCTCACACAGACATTCAGATCAAACCAGGAAGAGATATGGTGATGTCCCACCATGGCATAAATCAGGATTGGAATTATTACTGGTTGAATCATGTGTACAAATCTTCAAATCTGTGAGTAAAGTGTAAATTGTGGTGGTAGTTTGGTTTAAAATTCCTATATACAGGTACAGTGTAGCACAGAACCTGCACAACTGAGAACAGGGAGTGTTCAGATTTCCCAGATGAACTCGCCAGTGTACATGTAGTATTACAAAAATCTATCAGTGTCCTGATATCAAGAAAAAAAATTGTCTGTGGTGATTTCACTGATTTGAGAGATTTTGGCCAGATGAAAGCAGGTCTGTCAATTTTAGATTTCTGGTCATTTGTCCTGACAGTATGTGTTCTTTGTAATGTAATTTGCCTGTGCTTATGGTGTATACGCATTGAATGTGCATCCAAAAAGCCTCTTCAAGATATAAAGTAAAGTTTCATTGTTTTAAGTGGGATACCTCAAGATTCCAGTCTGATTTTTAGGTTATGTACAAAAACTTAGTCAGTGTAGGCCTATGTATGTGCTGGAGGTCTGATAGTACAATGTGCTATAGAACATGTGCACGATCAATCAAGTACAGTACATACGAGTACATGCATGTACATGTACAGTACCCATGTAGTGACTAGTGCAGGTCACTCTGCCTCTTCTGGATATGGTGCACCATAGGCCTATATTGTACATGTACCTCAGCAATTTTGAGTCGTTAAGATTTATTACATTGTACACCACCATGTACATGGCTCTCAAACTGTAATTAAGTCAACAATAAAGAAATCTAATTTTGAGCACAACTTTAAATGAAATGAAAATGGAAGTTTTTTGTCATGATTTTAGTGGGAATTGCATGTTCCTGTACATTGAACATGTTGCAATAGTTTACTGTACATGTACATGTAGGTGAGAAAGTTAAGTCACCAAGTGCACGGTTTAAATTAACTTTGTGCCATTTTGTAACCAATTGGAATCTAGGCCCAAAGTAGACCCTGGGAACAAGGATGAAATGTAACCTTTCTAATACGTAATGCTGGAAGTCAGGGCAATGAACCACTTATGAAATTCTTCAAACACTCAGACGTCAGATTGTTTGTCAGAGATCTTAAATTTTGTGGGAGGATGTCCAAGGAGAGAGATGTTTTGCAAGTTTTGTGTCCAGGCTGTTGTGCACGAAATTCCCTTCTCCTCTCGGCCTTTCCGTCCGGACGGCAGCTGAATACGATCTGCATCTGAAGTGTCGCCCACGTGGTGTTGATTGCATTCCATTAACGGTTCCTCTTGGAGAGGCATCTTTGAGTACCGGGGTTGAGCTGCAGATGGAATAGACAGACGGTGGGGCTGACGTCTCCGGTCCTTCTCACCCACCTTGCCAAATTGAATCAGTTGTCTCGCACATCTTGCAACACAGTAGGGACGCGCGCTTTTTGATGTGAAAACCGTCATAAATGTCAGCCTCGCGGGTTCATAGAAAAGGTCCGGTCCCTCACCCCAGGACGGCGCGACCCAGTTTATATCGTCTACAGAGTGCAGAGCCGTTAATCTAGGTTTTTCTTCAAAACAAACCCCGGTGGCATCTTGCTTTTCGTCTCCATTCCCAAAGTGATGGCACTGTTTACGAACCGATATTCAGATAAATGTCTTGACTTCTGTGATTTATTCCTTGGAGAGGCAGCGAGGAAAAAAGAATGAGCGCTCTCTGGCAGCTTGCATGCATCACAATCAGCGTGTTGTTATTTACTTAAAATGTCGGTGTCTCCAATGCTACAATAATGAAAAAGGGCCAAATGATTTGATTCTGGCAGAATCTTTCTTGGGTTTTTTTGGCCTTTGACAAAAATTTTGTTGGGATCAAATGTCGGGTCCTCTGATTTTTTTATTTGTCCATTTCAGGTCACTGTAGTCAGCCATTTGCAGCAGTTCTTGTACTTATTTACATTGCAAGCTCCATAAATTAAACTGCTTGATAAACACATCACTGTTTTTGTGTAATGGGGTACAAAAGGGCAGAAAAATACAAGGTTCAGTTTGTATAATCTGGCTTCCATTTCAACTTCTGAAAATTTAAATACATGTACAATTGTACATACATTGTAGACTGTGAATATTTTCATTGAAGCGTGTGCCAAGGGAAGATCGGGGGGAGGCAACTTTTCTTTTCAATAATAAGAGAAAGGTATTTTTTTGCTGGGGGATTTCATTTTTTCTTCGTCCCCAAAACAAAAGCCCCAAAATGTGGCCTCGCCCCTCAGAGAGACCATAAAGCGTTTCATGAAAAAAAAATCCCATATTTTGATCCCTCCAAAACAAGTTTGCCCTCCTCCCCCCCTTAATTTGTAATTTTTTTTCTGTTCAGGATCCACCCTTGAATTGTGTAAATGTTGTATTCCAAAACGAATATCATTAAAATAAAGAAGCTTGATTACTTGCGTATAATGCCCACTGGGCTTTCATCTCATCCCCAACCCTTAGATCCGCTCCTTCCCATGGAAAGTAAGACAATAACGCAGCTCTAATCCCACAAGTGGCTCTGAAAAAAATCCAGAAAAAAGCACCAGAAGAGTTGTGGCATTCACCGGGGCTGGAGTGGTTGCTAATAAAGACATGCCCGAGGTCCTTCCAGAGATAATGGAGAACTGGCCTCTGCCAAAGTGACGGCTGGGACATGTGCCTGCACTGCATCCGTGGCTGTTTAAAGAGACCATGGGAGGCGAATTTTTTTTACTCAGACACCGAAGCAAGCAAAATATTGACAGGAAAAAAGGAGGGAGAGTGTGCTTACTCGGGGAACAAACACTGAGCTGATACAGGACAACTGTTAAAATTGTGCAGCAGAATCCCCTTAGCGATGGGAGAGTAAAATTCAACAGTCACTATCCACTGCGAGCGGGAACAAAAGAAGGCGTGCCCTTAAGTACGAACTCAGGGCGTAGGCATGCACGATTATGCGCATTTGACGCGGAGCATGCTGAGTACATGTATGCACAGCAAATTTATTCTGGAATGTTTGGTTTTTGCATGCAGGCTGAATGCTTGCAAGAACCCAGTCGGAAAACTTTGTACCAGTCTGTCTGTGTTTCGCCGATGAGGGTGCACTTCACTCAGGGTGGATAGCTACTGGTACCATGGGTCTGACACCCATTCAATGATTTGTGCACATTCAGATGAAAATACGCTATGTGTGGTCCAAGCCATACATTTACAAAAACAGTTCATGCACATATTTTGTTTTCCCCGTAATAGAGGTCTCAAGAGTAATCTGATACATGTGCATATATGTACCTGCTCAAGGAAATAACTCTAAAATGCCACCCCCCCCAAAAAAATTACTATATACATGTATAGTGTCTGCAGAATCTGCATAATCACGCTTAATATTGAAACCTGCATTTTGAATAAGGAACTTGTCTTCCAAAAGAAAAGAAAACGATGTGGGAAAAAGTTTTGTGAATTGCATTTAAGGAACAATCTTGATTGAGTTTTGTGGCATCCGTAGAAGCCTAGAAGAGAGCAAAAAAAATTCATCTAAAACCTTGGAAAAAGAGGCAGGGAAATGCCACAGAATTGGATGCTTATTAAATAGTTTCTTCATACTCCCTGAAGATATTTTCTTTTCAAAGTTGGGTTACATCTGAGTTAGTTACTAACACCCCCCAGGTCACTCTTTTTTTCAGCGACATCCGTATTATTTCCCTCCAACAGCAGCTTTATTTGTGAAAAATACCCCCAATTGAAAAGTGAGTCACAGGTGTCGGGTCATGTCAGAGCCTCTGACATGCAGAACCACATTATGCCCTCAGCCTTGTTTGGTTCATTGAAGACTGTTTTTGTAGAATTAGATACCTTCAAGCAATAAACACAAGCATTCTAGATTGGCGTCTAACATCTTGACAAGTTGGACTGCCCACGATGAGGTCATCAGGCTCTAGATTCCTTTCTTTCCGTCAGTCCACATCACTTGTCTTTGCCACGTATTTTCTCCATCGCCAGTGTTTGCCACGACTCTGGAATTATATGCAACACCTTGCAGCCATATTTAATGCAGTTTTCTGATGTCTCTCTCTTTAAGGTGGACAGCATCATGACCACACTCAGACAGTCCTTCAACGTGGCTTTACAGAAGAGCAAACTGCATGTGATATGCGGAACGTGCCCCATGCACCAACTGCACAAGCTCTGCCAGACTATTGAAGGTAGGCTTACGGAGACTTGCAAACATGCAGTTACGATAATCAAAATCATACGGACATCTGCTTCCATTTATTTACATGTGGCACCACAGAAGGGTTTTTCAAGTGCACTCTCTAGATTTGCAGTTTCTCAAGTGTTGACAAGGCCTAAAAGCCAAACTTAAACTTTGTGGAAATCTGTTGTTTTTACACAATCAAAACTTCTTTGTTTTTCGTGCACATGTATTTCCATGCAGTGTTTATGCCTGATGATAGTGTTTATGCCTGATGATCAGGTGAATTTAATCAAAACTTATGTACTTTCAAGAATTTGTAAATCCCCTATCTGCCTTGTCTGAAAGTATGAAATCAGATCAGAACTTAAGACTGTGTGTACATTTTGGCCAGGAACACTGTAATACTCCAAGCGAGCATTCCATCAGATAAAAAATTATACCAAGTTTATGCGCTACCTTTGAAATTTGCTGAATCCTTATTTATTGAAAAAAAAATTACATGTGGATCATTTTATACATTTTGTTTCAAAAGACTTTGTAACTGTCCTGTTTGCAAAAAATGTTGTATTTTGTTTAAATCATTTGCAAGAACGCTATCGGATTACTTCACAATGAAACAAATTGCTTATACGATTTTGCAAAAAAGGACATACAGTGTACATGTATTTGTGTAGTGCATTTTCATATTTGCACACTTGAAGTGTATAGCATCAGAGCCCGCATTTAGAAACAGAGCCATATGGTTCTTGAACAGGAAGAAAACAGATCACCGTCAACGACGGAGACGGGACATCATCAAGGAGCCTGTGGAATCTTGTAGTTTCCCATCCCCATGCCGCTCGATGAAGACGGCGGAAGATTTGCCAGTTTATTTACCCAGTCCCAAAGTGTCAGACAGAATATTGGAACAGGAGGATGCGTTCACAGATCCCTGAGCTGCCAAGTGCCGGGCCCATGTCTCTGTAGATTCAGTGCCTGTTTGGATACAGTATACACACAGATATCGGCCATCGTGTCAAGTCAACAGTGGCAGGGGCTGATAGGTCATTAAGTCTGTTATATTTACTCCTCCCCCCCCATCTTTCTGCTCTTTCAATTTCAGGCCAACCCCCAGAGAAGGCGCACACTGTTTTGCTTAAGCAGCTGGATACTCTGAGTGATTCTGAACGCATTGCCGTGATAACCAAAACAAAGGTATATTGCTGCACTTAAGTGTTCTAAAGCTTTTACTGCGTGGTCTGTATTACATTTTTCATCCCATTTTGGTTTTTTGTTTTGCATTTTCAGTAGAAAGAATATTCAGAGCTTGTCATTTTGCAACATCAGTGAAATTCTATTACAAAGCACGAGGGTGAAAATGTTGGTGTTTATGTTGATACCCAAAGATTTTTCATAGGCCTCATCAATTCAAAAGTAACACTCTCGAGTTGTTACTCAAGTTCGGTCACAATTGGAAATACCAATTAGGTTTCAGTTACCACCAATACAGGGATTGCACATCACAGTTTTTCAGTGGTTCCATGCCATGTGAAAGGAGTGGTCACCGAGTACCAAGTGCAAGGGGTCTACTAGTGTATAAAGCAAAGGCTAAGTGATACAATGAATTAGATTCTTGAGTAAAATTGACTGGATGCTGGAAAAAAAGAGTCAAGGATCAATTAATAAAAACTGAAAGGAATGATAAAAAACAGCATATCTGGTACTGGTAGGTAACCATTTTATAATTTCCCCCATATTTTATTTATTTAAATCCTGTCATTGTTGGAACTACCAAAAAAAAGACAGTTGAAAGTGAGTTTAGAATTTTTTCCCCGACAGCAACTTGTATGTCTGAAGTACAGAAAAGTATACATGTACCAAGCCATCCACTGATTTTGACACTGCTTGCAAATGTTTTTGCTATGGCTATTGGTAACACACATGTCTATGGGATGCGGATGCCAGTGGCTTCCACCAGTGCCTGTGTAAATTCCCAGCAGTAGCCACTACTTTTGGACACCGCCACATATCCAACATGGACCTCTTTTTAAAATAACTGAAATTGTTCCACACCAGCTTGTCCATCAGGCATGGTATCGCATTCTTCCTCATTTGTTTATATACATGCTCCGGTATTCATTTCAGGAGGCCAAGGCAACCAGTGCTCAGGAAGCCAATGAGATTATCATGAGCCAGCTGATAGCAATCTGTGAGCAGCAGCAGAACTCCCACATCCACAACAGCGACACAGAGGCTGGAGGGGAACCCCCCTCCTCGAGTCCCATGCAGGTACTCGTACCCCCCACCAGACTAAAGTATTCATCCTGATCATTGTTTTCTCTAAAAATCCTTCAAAATCTCCAGTGTTCTGCGGGTAGCCTGGAATCGATGGCATCGGTTCCGATTTTAATTGCTCAAATTTGAACTTTGAAGGGTTATCTAGGCCGTTGTAAAATGGATTTAATCCTCCTCAGTCCCTGCAAAATTCTCTTAAAACCTCCAGTTTTGAATGACAACATTGAGTCCTTTTGGGTAGCGACATCACATTGTTGACTTTTATTTTAGACAAATAAACACATGCTTATCCATTCTTGGTGTCCATAATACCCTCCCTGGTGACAGAAAGGGAAGCTGGGGTGACAGTACATTTATTACACCGTTGGCCCCAGCATATCGACCAAAATACACTGTATAGTTGTAAAAACACTTTGCATCCTCGGTCTGTCTATGCCAATTGCACATGTACAACCATGTACATGTAGTCTGTCTCAACAAGTCTGTGAGATGCTTCGTTGAAGAAACCTTCCTCTCATGTTCACAACTCTTACGTGTAATCTTGGTTGCCAGACTACTGTTGTCAAATTTGGCAAGTCCTTGCCTCTTGCAGGTGGGAAACATACATTATGTGGAAAACTCATAAACTTTGAAGTGATCATGATGTAAATTTTTTATTGACTCACCCAGGAGCGAAAATTGCCCAGCAAGGGCTCATGTACGGAAACAGCGGAGGGCAAGGTCGGTGCATTCAAGAAGGCCAAGAAATCACTGGCCTCCTCCTTTGAGAATCTGCTGTCCAGAGTAAGTTAAAATCAGTTGCCAGATTGATGTATTTGCTTGACAAAAATGGGTTACCAGTGAAAATGTAGAGGAATGTTTTACTGCCCGGCATAGATAACAAAACCTGGTCAGTAATATATTCTACTAAGCACTTGCAAAAGTTGTGCCCCTGTGTGGCCTTGCCCTATCGAAAGGTACCGTACCATCGGTCATTAACCACTTGTACAGCAGAAACTTTTAATATATGGCAATTGAGGAGGTAAAAAATATGCATGTTATATTGCTCTTGGGTCAGAATATACAGTATAGGTCTGGTGCGCCGTAATCGTTCAACTCATCTAAACATCAGCACCGATGACTTGCCCTTGCCTTATACTCTGTAAGCCTCGGGCTCGGATTGACATCAACAGGCTTCTGCCATGAGACATGCAATCGAAATCAAAGAGAAAGTCTTCCATAGTTCAACCATGATGCAATACTGAGAGGCATAAGCAACCTGCCGTACCAGAAATACCGTAACACAAATCTTGAATGGAAAGACAGAAATGGTGTATATTTTTGCATGATTTATGTGTGTCATTTGTTGTGTGTCATCATGTGCTTCAGTGCTGATTGTATAACGTTTTTAGTATTTATTTACATGTAGTAAGGATTTATTTGTTTCTTTATATTTCAATTGTAGAATTTTTCAACATTGAGAATTTTTTTGGGACCATCAGTTTTTAGCTCTTAGTGCTCAGCAAATGAACTGTATGTGCGCATTCAGGTGAAATATTTCCTTTTTGACAAGGAAAGAAATATTTCTAAGGTTATTTAGAGTGTTGCCCATTTGCTTCGGCAACTACAGCATGTTAAAAATCCAGGATGCTTTTAGCAGTACGTACCGAGTAATAAATGCTTTGACTATTAAAGACTGGTTAAATTTAGAAGGGATTTGCTAGGGAACAGAGTATTTGTTGATCGCTGTTTATGAAATTCTACTGACTTATTTCTTCATGTGTGTCACATCCGATAGAATTCAATGCGAGGCCTTCCCTTTTAATGTCATCCATCCCATTACTCCATTGATGTCCCTAGAGCTGTCATGCACCCTCACACCCATTTGGAGTTTTCATTATTTATCATGTCTTGGATACTGCTGGTCTTGAATGATCACATTTCTGGTCAGCAGCCGCTGGTTACCTGATGTACATGTACAAGCCCGTACAAATTGCCCTCAAGTACAACCAGGTTCCCTGTTAATTGCTCACGCACGCTGCCTTGTGGGTACCAGGCACCTGCCCCGGCGACTGCACTGTAGTCTCTCAGTCTCCAGCCTGGTGCAGGGAAGCACACATTAATCAAACTGTGAGGGTTAATGTACAATGTGGGAGCCCATGCTGTTGGTTTTGTTATTTTGCAGAAGAAAAAAAATTCCACGGAGGAGCCAGGAAGCTTTGCAAACTCGGGCTACAGGAGCAGACAAGGCACCATGGACTCTGTCAATAGTGTAAGAGTACAACACACGGAACTGGTTTAGACCAGAGAGGAACACCAAGCAACAATAAAAGTGTTTGTCATTGTAGTCATTAACCCTCCTATGCTGAAGTCACTCTTTGGGTCATTTGGC